TTGTCCAACATAGATTTTTCCAACAGGCACTCTTGGGCCTGACCCTGAAAAAAGCAGTTGGTACTTTAGCCCTACTCTACAGCATAGTAAAAAGATGAACATAAGCATCCTTATGACAGCAGATGAGTGAAACTAACGAAAGATCATACCAGCATGAGGTTGATGTTGAGATTGAGGATCTGGTGACTCATGTCCACACTGAAGTTGTGGCTGAAGTGATCTCTCAGGTAGGTGAACGCTCCAGCCGAGCACTGGAAGTGTGTGCAAGATACTTTCATTCCCTAACAGTGAGGGGAAAAGTGACAGTTAGGAAGCAAGGAAAAAATAATCCTTTAGTTGCAAATTGCTGTAAGTAATTATGTCTTCCAGACCAGTAAAAATAACATTCACATACTGCTTGAACTCAGAAATCTGGAATTTTATCAAATCTGACTTTTCCCACATAGTCACAGCCTCACATGGCACACCCACGGACTACTCACAGTCTGACCAATGCATATTACTCTCAGAACTCTGTTTTGAGTATTTTCTCAATCTGGTGTCATGTAAAATGGTGGCGAGGTAGCACTGTACCACAACAAAATGCTGTTCCGTTATTATATTTGTTATAATTTTACTATTGATAATGTCTTAAAGTTGGCATGAAATTGAAATTCACACTATTTTCCTATTGCTTCTTATTGATCAATTTGTGAATGATTCATCCATGCATATATTTTATTTGTTATTTGTGAATAAGTGCTAAAATATAAAGAATTATTTCTCAGCCTGATGATATGAGTAGCTGAAACAGCAATTCCGACATGATGTGCACACTGCATTCAATCACATGATATTTAAATTGGTGTATGTATGCTGTGTCTTCTCTAATTCAGCTTACCTCTTCGGACACCCTGTTGTCCATGGCTCCCAACATTGAATGGAGTGCTCCTACAACATGGAAAACATGACTTGAATCAGGAAACAAGCCTGATTCTGAACAATACCCTCCTCTCAACAACACTGTAGTTCTTTTAATCACAGACAATGCAGTCATTGACTAGAGGAATAATACGTATCAGTCTAGTACTAACTCACCCAAATTATAAAGGATGCAGGCCTGCTCATAGCAGATGTCCTCATGGGTCACTGTCTTCCCAGAAAATATCTCTGTCCTATATATTAAACAAGAAAAGTGTAAGGGGAAGACTAAAAGTCAACAAAAGGCAGTATACGAGAGGGAAATATGATGGCTGGGTTGGTGCCCTCACCAGGAGATAGGGACAGCAGCTTCCTGCCCCAATCCCAAAGGCACACGACTCTGA